GTATTCAGCCATGGACTAGAGTTGCTCTTTTTCGAGGTGTTGCTGCGAGGCCAGATGCAGGGTGGCAGCTGGTGGAGCAGGGGCTGTGCTGCACACTGTTCCTGCTGGCACATCTGCCCATGCGGAGGCTGTTGTGCGTTTGCTCTAGCTGACCAGCTGGGAGGCAGCTTTTGGAACTGTTTGCTCCTCGTGCCTCTCTCCGAGCTAACGGGACCGCGTGCCCTGTGCCAGGGCTGCACTGACACTCAGGCAGAGGCTGAACTGCCAGGACATGTCTCTGGAGACTTCCCGGGGAACTTGCCAACCAGGAAGGTGAAGGCATCGTAACTGGAACGCGCGCGTCTCTTTTGCTTCCGAAAAGCTAAGGTGGCATTTGACTTTTGAGCATGATGAGAACTGACTGATGAGGTAGTATGACTTGCAGGCATTTTGAGGAGCTTCTTAGCATCACCTTTCTGCAGCTGGAGGCAGCACTGACATTGGTGAGGCAGTAAGTATTTTTACCAGTGAAATGGAGAAGAAAGAGACAGGGAGAACATTGCTTCTCCAGAGACCTCCATCTCCTTTTTAGCTCACAGTCAGCTGCAGGCTGACTCAAGTCCTTGTTCTCAGTCTGATTTGCTCACATGATTCCCATTAAATCGATGTGTTCAGGCTAAAAATCAGAAGTTTCAGAAAGATGGTTTTTATCTGCGTTTATAGATGCCCCGGGTCATTAACAGGAAGCTTTTAAATTTAACAATGCTGTTTGCTTCTTGCATGTCTGCCAGAGCGAGCCCGGAAGAGAAGGTGTTGCCTTCTCATGGGATTTGCTTTGGGTGTCTCATGCAGTAGCAGAGCAGTAGCTGGTTTTATTTTAGGGGAATAAATTCCATGTGACTTTTTTTTTCCTCCCATGTAAATTAACAAAAGGAGTTTTGCTTTCTTTGCTGGTGCTTTGACACTATTTAATACGTCCTAGGAATGTGTCAGGAGGAACGTTGAGAAACCTTAAGGAATTAATTCATGCTCAGTTTCGCTCCAGAACGTGGCAATATCAAGTGGTCCGCATATGCCTGTGGAAGAGGGTTTCGTAGGAAAGGGGCGAAGAAGATCAAGCGAGAGGCAGGAAGGTGGCGATACGTTGACGTTTGAAGTGCGTGGTCAGAAGGAAATGTGGAAAAATAAAACAGGTAGCTGCAGGGAGGACTTTGTGACATGGTGCTCTCCTTGGCGAAGGTGCAGCCGGGCAGGCGGAGAGGTGGGCAAAGAGTTTGCAGAGAATGGCGTTAAACGAAATCTCATTTCTTCTCTGTTCATGGATTATGTATAAACAGATCATAGTTCTCATGTATTAGCTCACTGTTTTGCAATTATTCATACATACTGAGCAAACATGTTTCCATCCCTTGATAGCTTTCAAGCAGCTGGCAGTGAGTGGCGGATAGTCGCAATTAGTACTGTTTTGATTGTAAAATGTGGGTCGTGTA